GAACACAGCACACTGAACATGAACCACCTCCCAGGTGTCTGCTTGTAACTCCTTCACAGCAGCTAGTAGGGTGAGAAGCTATTTGATGGTGCACCCACCACTATGGAAAGATAAATTGTCAATACCTAAATTTTTTTTAAATATCCTTATGATACTTTCCAAATGTATTTGAGTTGTGGTAATACACTGACTTCAACATAATGGTGAATTTGAAAGTAAAGTCATCAGTTTTATGTAGGTTAAAGCCTCAAACATATAGACTCATCAGCTGAGGCCAGACGAGACCTGATACCACTCAAGGGTGGATTAACCAGTAAGCAAGGAATGCACGGACTTAGTTGTGTGTTTACTTACTAATCTGTAGCGCATAATTTCACATAGTTCAGATTAGTTAAGGAAGCACAAGTACGCCCGTGCATACCTTGCTTATTGGGTAATCCATGCCTGTAAGTCTCACTGCCTCTCACATCTGCTGTTGTAAATCTGCTAGCAAAGGAGGCGAGGCTAGTTGAGAGTATCCCTGGAGGCCGTGGTCAGGAGTGAGGGCAGTTCTTGTGTTCCAGGAAAATGAAGTGAAGAAAGTGAATGCTAAAAGTTCTAGAAGAAGAGTCCAGCTTGAGAGCACTCCCAACAGACAGCTTTACTCCCCTGCCCACCATGCAGCCATTCTCCTAACCCTCAGGGAACAAGTTCTACCTCCATCCCCTTCTAGGGAGGTCTCATTTCTGTGAAAAGGTACTAATTGTATAACGGAAGTTGGTGGAGAAATTATTCTCCTTATAGCCAAGTTTGGGTTAGCCACACAGCTTATAAACCTAAATCTTGGGCAATAGCTGTAGTTTACTTGGCAAGTCTTAACAGGACAAATGAAAACACTTAAATGGCCCGAAGACTCATTTCTCAACCAGGGTGTCATGATTCCCAGAGGAGGCCTGCAGGAGGGGGAGGAACCCATGAAGCTACACAGGAGGTCAGCAGCAATACTGGACCTTCTACTCCTTGCAGAGTATGCTGCTCTGCCCCAGACGACCGGACGTGCTCCAGTACCCGGACAGTTCGGCCCACCTCCTTTATTCCCACAAGGCCCTGTACTTCCGGTACATATGGTCACTCTCCTCACGCCACTGAAAATTTCTCCTAACTCCTCTAATGTCCCTACTAGACTGTGTATTCCATAAGGAGTCAGGTCCCTTTTAAGAACATAGCACAGCACTAACGCATAGTCCTGTACCAAAACCCATTGCCACTGAGTCGATTCTGACTCACAGCGATCCTACAGGACAGAGTAGAACTGCCCCAAAGGGTTTCCAAAGGAGTGGCTGTGGATTCGAACTACTGACCTCTTGGTTAGCAGCTGTAGCTCTTAACCATTGTGCCTCCAGAGTTCCTAACACATAGCAGTTGACCAGAAAATAGTTGATGAAGAGTGAGCCAATGTCTCGCAGACAGACCGACACACTCAGTGCAGAGGGCAGCGCTCTCCTTGCCAGCGTGCTTTGGGGCCGTGTCCACTGATACCCCTCTTGGCATCACCCCACACTTCATGTCCTCAGACCCTCCTCCAGCTCCAGGATTTCCTGTCACATCAGCTGCAGTCTGGGGTCACTCTCATGGCTTTAGAGTAGCCTAGGATGGATGTTAGTTTTGAAGAGTTGATTCCCATGACCTCAACAGTGGAGGATGTAGAGAAAAGAAAGGAGATCAGGAAATGAGGGGCAAATATGAAGGGCAAAGGCCCCGGAATGTCTGTGGTTTGAACATCAGTACAGAATCACTTTTGAGAAAGAATTTTTAAATTTTTACTTCCCAAAAAGGCTGGAGTTGAGAGGAAAAAAGGAAGAGGGCAGGGTAAAAAATCATAATTTAATTTCTAGTATAAGTTTTTAATTATCATTATGACAAACTTCCATTGTACTGAACATGGTATAGTATTCAAAAGTTAAACAAGCGTTTCTACAGAAACCTCTGAGAGAAACCGAAGTGATACATCTTGATAGTGTTATGAAGGCGTTCTCTTAAATGGCAGGAGAGCAACATACCAGCAAAACCACACAGAGCCCTGAGGACGCTAGTATCTCAGGTTGTCTGGCTGCTGTTTATTCTAGAACATGGCATTATACTTTTCAGTTGGAGGTAAACTCAAGAGTCAAACCAAACCTGAATCACAAGGTGGTCTGATACCATTATTTTCTGCCCCAAACCACAAATCAAAACAATCCAATATTAGGCCTGGCTTGAACACACTCCTGAAGCAATGTTGGAGGAAAAAAGGTCTAAGATTTTCCAGTAACATCTGATTCAATCTTCTTTTTATGGGGGGGGGGGTCTTGAAAGCAAAGGGGTGATGTGATGGTTGGACCACCCGACTAAGTTCTAGGTGGGCCAGTTTCTTTATTTTCCTATCTTTTATGTTCACAATTTCCACCAAATAATTTTCCGAAAATAGAAAATACAAGCATGTACATGAGAGCAGAGACCTGGGAGAAAGGCTAAAAACAAAAATTAAATTTCTGTATGTGTGGAATCTGTAATGCAAACATGTTCTACAAAGCAACTCCACATGAGCAACTCCAAGAAACTACCAGATTGAATTCTTATAACATCAACACCAAGCTCCCTACAAATCTGCTCTTCATTTCCTTACGTCCTTTCTTCTGTTATTATCCTACTTCCCCCAGTGTGCATTAAACAGGGAACTGTCTCTTTTTTAATTTCCCAAAACACACTACCCCATCATTACTACCTCTATACTTGTGCCCAATCAGGCCACACAGCTAAACACTTCCTGTTCTCCCAGAGGTCAAGTGAGCTGCTACATGTCTCCTGGCTAGAAAGTACCAAGCCAAGACAATTCCAGCTACTAGTTCTACACTCTTTTCCATGTTATCTAAATAATAGTAATAGGGAGCTGCACTTACTCTCTCTGAGCCTGTGTTTCCACATCTGTAAAATGGGTATGTGTTCATTTCATCAATAATCTGCTTAGTTCTATAAGGGATTTGGTCAGCCTAACATCTGTTTTGCCTGTCTCACAGAATTGATGAGATCAAACACACTAATTTCAAAACATTTTTGAAAACTATAAAAATATAAAGTATAAATTTATGCAAATAAATGCTTGCTGTACATCTTCCAAATGCTGGCAGGCTGTCACCTCACTCTCATACACTTGACTACTTTTACAAATACTTTAAGTTTTTATGGAGGACCACAGTGGTTAAGAACTTGGCTGCTAACCGAAAGGCTGGCAGTTCAAATCCACCAGTGGCTCCTTGGAAACCCTATGGACAGTTCTACTCTGTCCTCTCCTGTTGCTATGAGTCGGAATCAGCTCGACAGTAGTGGGTTTGGTTTCGGTTTTTATACCATGCGTAGCATGGCAGAGGATTCATTTTGGCCCTATAAACAGTTATATTTTAAAATACTGTTCTTTTTAAAAAGCAATTAAGATTTGGGGGCAGAGCATATTACAAGTATTAGACTTTGGCCAGATATGAATAACAGCTTCACTGTCCAAGTTTTGTCCACTGACTCACTAAAGAATTAAAAGTATCCATACCAGAGAAACCTCACCCTGTCGCTTTTTAAAAATCCCGTCCTTTATATACTATGTCGCCCTCTTTGGCTAAGAGGCCTTTGCTGACCATTCCAACTCTCTGGGAAGCGAAGTTTTATCTCCAGGGAGGAATTATTTCAAAGGCTGAGAATAATTCACTCCCCAAAGGACCCTGCAGGAAGTTGCCTAAAAAACTCAATGACTACTAAGGAAGGTGTTCTGTCAATGTACTTTCTTTTAAATGGAAGAAACACTAACCACCAACTTCCTGAATAGTTCACTAAAAAGTTTACAACTTTTGCAGGGTTCTTCTTGGTGCCAAAAGTTGTGTGGCTGAGCCAGGAAAAGTGAAAACTATTTTTGCATCCAGAATGGTATCTATAGGATACTGAATTACAGTCAGCACCTAAAATGAACGCCTGCCTTTATAGATTTTGGAAAATATCTCATCAAAGGCTCCTCAGAACACATCAAGTCCTGCAGCGAACCCTGGCGGCACTTCGCTACCGAAGAAAACACAGCACAAAGTGACGGGAATTCCCTCCTCCCTTTGGGGAACCCTAGATTGGCGCGAAGGTCGGGGTAAGTTCTTCACGTTTTTGGTGAGCTCTGTGAAGTGTGTCTTTTCTAATACATTTTATTAACTTTAATGTGAAGTATTAATAAAGTTTAGTACATCGATGAATATGGAGAATCCAGGTTATAAGATAAAAGGAAAGACTTGCAAAGGGAAGATTCAATTATCTATCGAAGGATCCAGAAACCGCCTCTAAGTACCTCCGATATCCTTCTAGACCGGGTTTTGCTCTCCATAACTTAGTAACCCGCAACAAGGGCCCTTCCTGGGCAACTTCACAGACCGGCTTTGGGGAGAAGGAAAAGAAAGCAAAGCTAAGAGCGAAAACCGTTGCATCCCGCAGAACGCTCCTCCGGGGACGAATCTCGAAAAGCACCTGGGAGGACATGGGGACGCTGGTTGGGGAAGGGTCTGCAAGCCAGGGACGCAGGTAAATAAAGGGTCAGCCGAGATTTCAGCAGCGCAGGGGAGGAGGACAGGCAAGCCGCGCTCTCGAGAGCTGGGGAGAGCTACAGAAAGCAGGGGAGAAGGATGAGGAGAAGAAGGGGCCCCGAGGTGAGGGTTAGGACGAGGAAGGCGGGGAAGGAGGAAGGAAGAGGAACTGGGGAGAGGGAGCAAAACGGGGGAGGGGGGCTGGGTCTGAGCGGAGGAGGGGCGGGAGACCAGTGGGGATTTCCCTGGCTTCTCCCAACCACTTCCAAATTAAGCGGTGGAATTTGGAGTTTGTAACAAAGGCGGCTGCAGCCGGAGGCCGGCGCGAAGAGCAGCGACTAAGGTCCGGCTCCGCGGCCGCGCCGCTCCAGCCAGGGCCGGCAGACAAAGGCGGCAGCGGGGTCCCGACCCTCCCTGGCCCGGGAGCGCACTTACAGGATGGAGGTCTGCGGCGCCACGGCGGGCACGGTCTCCAGCATCAGATGCATGCAGCGCACCGTGGTGCGGAAACACAGGCAGCGGCTGGGGCACCCGCCGCCGCCCCCGCCGCCCGGCTTCGGGGAGACCCCCACCAGCACCCCCCAGCTGCAGCATAGCAGGAGCGCCAGGCACCATCGCGCGGGACCCGCTCTGCGCGGGGTCATGGCCCACCGGGCTGGCGCGGACGGACAGACTGCAGGCGGACGGAGGGGCCGAGGCAGTGTTCCCCGCGCAAAAGGGAGAGCGCCTGGTGCGTCCTCTCGGCCCGGCTCCCCCAACTGAGCCGGCTCGGACTGAGGCGGATTTCCCAGCTGTGGGCAGTGGGAGCGGGCTGGGGCGGGGTGGGGGGGCGGCCAGCTGTGCACATGCGCCGTGGCTCCTCCCTACCCCCCGACCCCGCGCCCGCCTCCCGGCCCCCGCCCCTGAGCCTCCCAAAAGGGCCGCGGGGCGGAGCGAGGGATGCAAGCGGCGGCTCTGCTCACGATTCCCTGCAGCGCTGTGGCGCACGACGGCCGGGGCGCTACCACCTCCAGCCAAACTTAGGCGAGTGTAAAACTTCTCCGTGGTGGAAAGTTAAGACAATCTGGGGCCCAGGTTTGAATCCCAGATCCTCCATTTAGCAGCTGAGTGTCCTTGAAAAAGTTATTTCACCTCACTTAACCTGTTTCCACATCTGTGCAATAGATTGTGTACGTGTGTGTGTGTGTGTGTGTGTGTGTTTTAATACTTTTAGAGTACTTGCAGTTTTCCAGGCTCTCCCTCTCTTAGTTATATCCATATAATATTCAAAACAATTTGTCAGATGGCAGTTGTAACCCAGTAGCTGCTCCGGGAGACAAAGGTTACAGACTTGGAAACTCTATGGGGGGGTTCTACTCTGTCCTATAGGGTCGCTATGAGTCGCCATCGACTTGACGGCAACGGGTTTGGGTTTTTTGGTTTAGGTTAGAATAATAGATGGTTTATGCAGAGTCCTTGGTGCAATGGACTGCCAGGGGCGTATGACTTTCCATTTCCTCTTCTGTGGGATGGAATGGGGAAAGGAGACCCTTGGGCCCAGCACATGTTAGAGTTGTATGGATACAACAGAAGGCATGGAAAGGAGGTAAGAAATGGAAGTAAAATACAGAGAGAGAGAGGACACCTTTACATACATTCTCAGTGATTTTCACAACAAGCCTCTCTTTCCATTTATCTATTCTTAGTTGAGGCTAAGTAGTTTACCCAAAGCCACACAGTAAGGGCAGTTTTGATCCCCCAAACCTGTCGTCGTTCCTTTACATTACCATGCTGGTGTTCTAACCCAAGACGTGTTTGAGGGCATTCTGGCATGGGATTGGTAAGGTGATTACTTATCTACTGCTGTGTAGCAAATTACCACCACACTTAGCTTAAAATAACAAACATTTACCATCTTGCACGTTTTCAGAAGGTCGGGAAGCTGGGAGCAGCTTAACTGGGTGGCTCCGGCTCCGGGTCCCTCATGAGGTTTCAGATAAGTTATCTGTCTAGGCTGTGTCATCTGAAGGGACTGAAGATTCCTCTTCCAAGCCCACTCATATGCCTGTTGGCAAAAGGCTTCTGTTTCTTGCCACGTGAGCATCTCTATAAACTGGCTCAGACAATATGGCCACTGGCTTCCCCAGAGTTGGGTAACCCCAGAAAAAGAATAGAGCACCCAAGGTAAAAGCCACAGTCTTTTTATAACCTAACTTCAGAAGCGACAAACCCTCACTTCTGCTGGATTCTATTCCCAGAAGCAAGCGAATAAATCTAGCTCACACTCTAGGGAAGGGAATTACACAAATGCCTATGTCCTCGTGCTGCTATGACAGAAATACCATCATTGAGTGGCTTTAAAGAACATAAATTTATTTTCTCACAGTTTAGGAGGCCAAAAGTCCAAATTCAGAGTGTGGCTCTAGGTGGAGGTCCTTTGTCTATTTTAGTTTCTAGTAGCCTGCAATCCCTGGTTCCTTAGCAATCTTCATGTGGTATCTACCTTCCCCATTAGTGCTAGTTTGTCTCTGTGCCTATGCTGTTCCTTATTACTCAGCACATTTAGGTTAGAATGCACCCTACACTGATAGGGGATCATTAGCATCACAAAAAAATTCTATTCCAAAATAGAGTTACATCCACAGGTATAGGGGTTAGGATTCCACCGCTTACTCTGGGGAGACACGATTCAATCCATAACTACAAGGTTGTGAATACCAGGAGGCAGGGATCCTTAAGGCTGCCTTACCAAAGGAGAATTTTTAAGGTTAACCTCTTTTGAGTTACTATGGAACCAAGGAAGGGTACAGGAATAATCCAACATGACATAAGGGCAGAACATTGGGTGGGAGTTAAAAATAGTGAGGTCGAGCAGACTGTGAGCAGAGGGGATGTGATGCCAGGGAAAAATGCTGGGCTTGCATCCTGTCTCCTCTCCAGTCGCAGGACTGCCACCGTAGTAACATCCCAGCCATGTCAACATTCTCTGAGAAGTAGCCTTGTGTCCGATGCTTACATACAAGAACTCTTTTCATCTTCACAAAGCTGTAGCTATTTTATTATTACTCCCCATTTATAGAGAAGCAATTTCTCCATTTATCATGATCTTGCTTACTGGTCCAGTTGTGAGAATTTTTGTTTTCTTTATGTTGAGGTGTAATCCATAATGAAGGCTGAGAAAAGTTTGAAGTTGTCAAGGATTTCATTTTACTTGGATGAACAATCAACACCCATGGAAGCAGCAGTCGAGAAATCAAAAGACGCATTGCACTGGGCAAATCTGCTACAAAAGGCCTCTTTAAAGTGTTGAAAAGCAAAGATGTCACTTGGAGGACTAAGGTACACCTGACCCAAGCCATGGTATTTCCAATCACCTCATATGAATAAGGATGATGAAGAAGAATTGATGCCTTTGAAAATATGGTGTTGGTGAAGAATATTGAATATACCATGGACTGCCAGAAGAATGAACAAGACTGTCTTGGGAGAAGTACAGCCAGAATGCTCCTTGGAAGCCAGGATGGCAGACGTCATCTCATGTACTTCGGACATAAAAAAACATCGTGGACATCATGCTTGGTAAAGTAAAGGGTCAGCGAAAAAGAGGAAGACCCTTCACAAGATGGATTGACACAGTGGCTGCAAAAATGGGCTCAAACGTAACAACAATTATGAGGATGGCACAGGACCAGATAGTGTTTTGTTCTGTTGTACACAGGATCACTGTGAGTTGGAACCGAGTCGACAGCACCTAAAAACAGCAAAAACTTTGGACATGTTATCAGGAAGGACCAGTTCCTGGAGAAGGACATCATGCTTGGCAGAGTCAGCGAAAAAAAAGAAGACCCTCAGCAAGATGAATTGACACAGTGGGCGCAATAATGGGCTCAAACATAGCAAAGACTGTGAGGATAGCTCAGGAATGGGCAATGTTTCGTTCTGTCGCATATGGAGTCGCTATGGGTTGGAACCAACTAGGCAGCACCTAACAACAACGACATTGAAGATCAAACTATATTCAGAGTATGCAATTTTCCAAGAGGCACAAAGTTTCTAAGTGATTGTATTAATCAGGGTTGATGTTAACTCTGTTACAGATAGATAAGTCCCAAACATAACAGAAATATATTTCTCACTCATGCAATAGTTCGAAGAGGGCATTTCTGGTTGAAGGATAACTTTCCTCTCTGCTGCTTCCGTCTTGTGGTCCACCATCCCTAGAACCTGAGATCATCTTCATCATCATCCAGCAGAAGCAAAAGAGCTCCTCAGTGCTTAAAGTCTTTGACTTGGAAGTGACACACGTCATTTCCACTCTCATTCTATTGGCAAAATATAAACACAAGGCCACCCCTAGTTACAAGTAAGGAAAAGAAATGGAGTCTTTGGCTGGGCAGCCACTTTCCAGAGAAAACTCTTCTGTGGAATCCACCACAGTTTTGGTTGAAAGTGACAAAGGGGAATTTTAATGTGAATAGTCTGATGCTATGCCCTATGCTTGTAACCGCTGTATTTTACCTGGCTTCGCTCTCTGGTCAGGTTACACCTCCCCTTCATGTCTCTGTTTCCTCATTTGTATGGAAAGGATGCCAGACTGGGTGTTCCAAAGCTTCCTTTTAATACTACAATTCTAAGATTCTATGACTAAAAAGAGAACACCCCATGAAAAGAAATTAAAACTTTCCTCGTCTGCAGTATCTGGGGCCCTTAATGGTTAAGAGCCTGGCTGCTAACCAAAAGATCGGCAGTTCGAATCCACCTGCTGCTCCTTGGAAACCCTATGGGGCAGTTCTGCTCTGTCCTATAGGGGCGCTATGAGTTGGAATAGACTCAACAGCAACGGGTTTTCTATTTGATAGGGCTCCTAGCTCAGGGTTTGACACCCTGTAGCAGCTCCACAGACAGGTTCCCTTCTCTTTTCCTCTTCATTTCATTGACAGAGAAACCCAGGCTTTACAAGGATGTTCATGCTTAGGCAAGAGGCAACTGTGATGCTGTGTCTGTCATTGGAACTAGTATCCTTGTTACAGTGTAATGTTCTGATTTATCTAAGGCCACAGAACAAGCCACTCAGGTGTCCTACAAACTTACAATCACGAATCTCATCCACAGCTCTTGCCTGGGCTCCACACTCTTACAATTACCTTCTAAACATCTCTAACTGGATGTCTTGTAAGAATTTCAAGCTTATCATGTCAAACTCAAAACATTATTCTCCCAAAAAAAATTTGGTTTGTCTCATGAATCCTTAATTTGATCCTACAAACCACTTTCTCACAACTAGTAACTTGAAGTTATTCTTACCTTAATTCTCACCCCACATTTAATTCCAGTTAGTCCCTCACTTACGACGGGGTTCTGTTCTGAAGACTTTGTGGTAAGTCAGTTCTGACATAAGTTGAATAGCTCATTTTTTGTTAGTTTTCATTATTATTACCTTTTGTTATCAGTATGTGATGGTTAACATGGTGTGTCAACTTGGCTGGGCCATGATTCTCAGTGTTTTGGAAGTCATATAATGTTGCAATCACTTCCCCATTGAGATCTGATACATGATCACCCCCATGATGGGATCTGCTGTGAGTAGTGAATCAGTTGAAGGGGAGTTTCATCGGGCGTGTGGCCTGCATCGAGTGTGAGTAGAAGTTCAGGCAGGGCTCTGGGGCTTTTGTTCATTCTGGACCTTGCAGCTAGCTCGTGTTCATCTGACCTCCAGTTCTGGAGACTTGATCTAGCACCTTACCTACAGTCTTGCCTGCTGAACTTGGGATTCGTCAATCTTCACAGCCTGTGAGCAACAGCCCAGCTCTCCAACCAGCCAATCTTGGGTTTGCCAGCCCCTGTGACTCAGTGAATCAGGAGAAGCCT